TCCCGCCCTCTATATAGTACATTTCCTAATTTATATGATTATGTCATGTACGGTATATAGTTCGAACTGATATAATTCAGCTGATTTGCAAGAGGCTGCAAATTTTTGAAGTTATTAAAAATTTTGAACTTATTAAATATATATATATATATATATATAATATATATATATATATATATATATATATATATATATATATATATATATATATATATATATATATATATATATATATATATATATATATATATATATATATATATATATATATATATATATATATATATATATATATATATGAATATATATATATATATATATATATATATATATATATATATATATATATATATATATATATATATATATATATATATATATATATATATATATATATATATATATATATATATATATATATTTCGGAATGTGAAATTCAACTAATTTAAAAACATTAAAAAATTAAAAACTAAGTTCATTTACTCGAGTTTCACGCCTATATTGGCGATCATCAGACCCGATGATCGCCAATATAGGCGTGAAACTCGAGTAAATGAACTTAGTTTTTAATTTTTTAATGTTTTTAAATTAGTTGAATTTCACATTCCGAAATATAATTCGCTCCACAATCTCTGTGTTGAGCACTCTAGCAAAGTGGACAAACCCAACTTGTATATATATATATATATATATATATATATATATATATATATATATATATATATATATATATATATACAGGGTGTATCAAAATAAACGCAATTCATCTTTTGTGCTTAATAACTTTCGAAATACTATTTCTAGTTAAACGCATTTAGGCTTACTTCAAAGCCTGTTCTTTTCTCTTTCAAACAAACTATTATCCTTGTCTCCAATGCTAGTAATGATTGCACAGGAAAAGATTTATTAAAACCTATCATTTTTAGTTGCTGTTTAATTATGCAAGTCTACTATGTTATTGTTTAGTCGGTTTAAATGTTAGAATTTTCTTCTTTAAACTTTAATGTTGTCGTCACTACATCTGGAAAACCACGTAAGAACAAATTAAAAGTATTTTAAAAGAGACCAGGTTGTTTGAAAATCCCAAACGAACGCTAAAAATCATAGAATCAAAACATTCTGGTGTCTGAGCCAGAGTGTCATCGAATGGCGATGTAATGTAAACAGAAATTATAGCAAGCTGATGTCAGTCAGCTTAGATGGTCCAAGCCAAAATTATATCGCATTTGAAGTTTCAAACTGTGTTAAAAATAGTGGAAGAAAAGCCGTAATTATACTTATTGTTACAATCCATTTAATAAAATGCAACATTTGTTTGTTTTAATGAAAAAATATGTTATTTTCATGAGAACGATTTGTTATTCCATCTCAATTTTTTTAATCTCCAATCGCAATAACGTAAAGTATTATTACCCGCGAACCAATGAGTCAAATTTAAGAAACAACCCACTGTTAGAAAGCTGAATGGCTACCCTTTAAAATGAATGTAAACTTTAACGTTTTCGTCTATTATTTGTTTAGCAATTTACATTTCAGTCTAGGATTGCGTTTTTTTTTATACACCCTGTATATATATATATATATATATATATATATATATATATATATATATATATATATAAATATAAGATTTATTCACTACAAACTTGTTTCGTATGACAAGCAATGCTTGGCACACTCATCAGGTGAATTTAAATTTTAGATTTAAAAAATTTTAAAAATTAAAATCAGTTAAAATTTAAAATTTAAAATTTAAAATTTTAGATTTAAATTCACCTGATGAGTGTGGCAAGCATTGCTTGTCATACGAAACAAGTTTGTAGTGAATAAATCTTATGAAGTAAACCAGGTTTATTTTATCTTTATCTATTAGCAGTCCAGCATTCAGGTTCTTTGTTCCTTCAGCGTGTCAACGAATGTTAACCCTTTGATTAGACTCTTCCCCTCACTCTTTCACATCTGGGACTTGGGACCCAGCAACGGTGAGTTTAAAAGACGGGAAGAGAATCTGAAGTGAAAGAATAAGGATGAAAAACGCATTAGCAGTGTTACATACATTTATTTAATTCAATATCCACCCACCCCTTCACAATAAATATATATATATATATATATATATATATATATATATATATATATATATATATATATATATATATATATATATATATATATATATATATATTGATGAACTTTAGACATAGAATAAGGCCAAAACAGAAGGGTAAGAGGTAGGCGGCTGAACATAAAAATCATTTATCCGGACTTTATCAATTTTCATTTTATTCTTTAATTTTTCCTTAATGTTTTCGTAACTTGGCCCAAATTTTAGCTATAATTATTAGTTTTTAATCAGTGTAACTGTTAGTTTTTTCCTTCCTATCCAATTCATGTTTTGGCAATTAACTACGAAAACAATTTGCAGACTGGGATTCAATTTAGAGGTTCAGATTTCACTACCGCGACCACTATATCTCACTAGCTCGCATCTGATTGGTTGAATTGGGTTAATCGTATATATCAAACGCATCTGATTGGTTAATAGTCGTTAATTGTAGCAGTAGTGGAAGTCAAATCTGAACCTCTCTAATGAATTGCGCGCCGACTACCTGACGACTGGGCAGGTGGGTCCCCCACCGAACCCCCGTCAATTAATGACATGTCACCATTTAAATTGATCTTTGATCACAAAGCGTACTGCTGTGCTCCCTTGACTCGGATTCATTTTTCTAGTAATGGGCCGATATCGATCGATACCAAATATTCGTTACCGCCGATACCAAGGTCTGAAAGAAAAGTACTGTTGATTGTTTCTATGCTGCTGAGCCTGCGATATTTTGCCTATTGGTCAGCAGAAACTACAAAGAAAAGAGTAATTACTTCATGTAAGACTCACAAGACAGTTTCGGCAAATTATAGGGTTTGTGTGATCGTAAAAGACACAACAGAAGACACACAGAAGGTCCACTCAGCCAAAAAAGCGTAACCGTTGCCATGCCATGATTCGCAATGATTTTTCATCAAAATGGTGACGCCATGGTCCTAGTCAGTGCCCTTATGAGAGGCATTCACCCTCTGAACACCCCCCAATGAAGCACTGAAAATAGTCATGATTAATGTTATTGTTGTGTCTATAGAGTTTAGGAGGACCAGATTCGAAAAAAGTTGTAACTTTATCTGTTTATATCCTCAATAAATAAAGTGTTATTATTATTATTATTATTATTATTATTATTATTATTATTATTATTATTATTATTATTATTATTATTATTATTATAGTTATTATTATTATTATTATTATTAATGTTGTAATATTGCAGTTTTGTCGGGCAATTTTAACCAGTGGTGTCAAGTAACGAAGTAAATGTACCTTCGTTACTGTACTTGAGTATTATGTTTGAGAAGTGAGCATGTAACAAAGTAAACTTTTTCTGGAGTACTTTTGCTTGAAACGAAGTTGTTTTAAGAAGTAACGTTTTACTTCGTTATTTTCATTTTGTGGCGAAATATTTCATTTATACTTTCTAACTTTTGAGTTTTGTTAATTATTCCTGACTTATTTTAATTTTGGGATAGGTAATAGGACCTCTACATGCGTCTGGGATCTCTCGTTTCTGGCTTACTTATATAAGCATTATTTATTTAATGAATTTCTTATATCTTCAACGGGGTCTGCAAAGTAGACCATGCCGTGAAATATTGGATTAGGTGCACCGTGCACGCATATAATGCGTGTGCTGTTTTGTGTCTTTTGTATGTCATTCCGTCGGAGAAGTCCCTTACACATACAGACAATAGTACTTTTATTTTTACTTTTTACTTCAAGTATTTTACTATTTTTAAGGATACTTTGTACTTTTTACTTAAGTACGTTTTGCCTCCAGTACTTTTTACTCTTACTCAAGTAGTTTTATTGTTAATTACTTCTCCTTTTACTCAAGTACAAATTCAAAGTAATTTAGACACCACTGATTTTAACAATTTTAACGACACGTTTGTCAAGTTCAGATATTGCACAGCACACTCCGCTACAGGGGTTTTCAGTGACTGGTTACATTAGGACCGGAACTGGCATTGTAGGAAAAATATTGATAAATTTACGAAAATATTACTGAAAAGTTGTACAATTTGCAGCAGATTAGTTCGAAAGTTAGTAAAAAATGGTATCTCCGAAAAATCCCCCCGCTCGCCAACATTTTGTGAAAAGAAATATTAATTAGCGACTGAAATGTCCGTCAGGCACGACTTCGTCCACGCCCTTTTGGTCGGGCAAAACAAGCTCACTGAAAAAGTGCAAAATATAGAAGCAGAAGCATTCTAAAAAAATGGATACAAGATATCATACCCTGGACCCTGGTTCCAGAATCCAAGAGACTATTATTTTTTCCAGATCAACGCAAGGCGGGGAAGTCTGGACAGGAAAGTGGGAAGTGCCCCTATAAACTTCCGGTGTAGGCGAAGTTTTCGTTCATCTCAAGTAAAGTTCACATTTCAAAGATCAAACTTTTGTTGTCGGCTGGTATTATACAGACAATTTATAAATCAAAGTATATTTCAATGTCTAGAGTTACATTACGTTTTCTCTAGTTGCTATAAAGAGCTGCTTAACCTGGAAGGTGAGTTGCTTTTCTCTGCTGTGTTTTAATATAAATGAACTGCCATGGACGTTGTTTGAAATACTCATGTTAATCTTTTGGATTTTAATATTGGTTTGTATATATAATCGTTTGTTGTAAAAAGAACAGTTCCAAAATGCTATATGTTTCCCTGACAGGCTTTCCTTTTTGTATAAATCTACCCTCAATCGTCCTTGTCGTTCGTGAGTAATGTTTTATAGCGTGAACGAAAACAAATTCGCTTGCATAATTCACTTTAAATTAATACGTTTGTTTATAGTAATTAGGTGTTTTGGTTACGAAAGGAAATAGACATTTTAATCTTTCTAGAATTTTATACTAGGTAAGGTAATATTTGTTCGTATGGACAAACTCTATTGTGCTTATAAACCAGTACATTCTGGAATTTTAATACATCAAGTATGTGTACAAGCTGTCAAAAATCAGAGCACATAAATATTCAGTAATGATCATGACACTATATTATGTGCAGTTTAATGATCTGCTCTTATGAGTCTGCTTAGCTAGCCCTACCACAAACCAAATATCATACCTACTTATTGTTATGCTGGATATCTCCGGCATAAATTGTTCTTGGTATTTAGACCAGTGGCATAAATCTTACTAATAAAAAAAATACCTTTAACAATTTTGCTGTATTTGTGTAATATTGTGATCTTATTGATTGACTGGTTGTGCTACCATCAGGAATTATGATTGCCGATTAATAAGGCGACCAATGCTGATTTTATAATGGCGTCATATTGTCCTGGTTACAATGACTTTATTGGATTAAATGAACAACTTATACATACAGTACATAGAATATGGCATTATAATAGATTACACTCAGGGCTGCCGAGAGAATTCGTGGGGCCCAGGGGAAATCTTCCCTGGGGGCCCCATGAGTCGTGACATATATTTTTAAGTTAGACCCAACTAGACCTTAGCTGTCTAGACTGCATCCACAGGTACTGTAAGGGGCCCCCAATTTCAAAAATTCTCTGACCAATTTAAAGAACCTACTCAATTTTAGGCTCTCACTCTCAAGTTGGGGCCCTATTAAGATGGAGGCCCTGGGCAATTTTCCCGGCGGCCCAGATTACACTACGGTACCCATGCTTTGCTTTGGTTTGCAACTTTATTTAAAGAGGGTAACACTTTGACAGTAATATAAGTAAAACTGATGCAAGGTACCTTACCAAAAAAATAATATGTACATAATATATAGAATAAACAGCTAACAATATGAACACTAACAATGTTCAGTTCATACAATGACAGACAAGGACAATCACACGAAATAGACCAAGTTGTCCAAGTACATAACAGAATCCCGTACATCAAATACAGTAGAAACTAAAAACATAGAATAAGAATTATTAAAGTACTGTTTAAATGTTCTGACACTAGAGAAAGTATTTGGAGGAGCTACTTTGCAAACACTGGAGTGTTCCATAATTGTACTATCCTGTTGAAACTTAAGTTCTCACTGATATGCAGTGGTGTTACATAAAGGAGTCTTATTTTATTTTTATTTTATTTTATTTTACAAGATTCGCCAAACATAACAGACATAAATAAGACTAATACTTTACAAAATTTACATACAATTCGGGCAGGGACTAGCCACAGAGATAATCTCCAATTATGGGGTCCCTTACAATAAGTTACAATATATAACATTAAAACAAATTATAATGCTAAATTGTCAACAACATGTCCTCACTAATAAGCTATCAAGAGACCGAGTTGAGTGGCATTTGACGCAAACTGACTTAAATGTTTTAGGATTGTCAGTCTTGAGCATCAGATTTGGATTCAGAGCTAGGCGAGAACAATTGTGGGTGACAATCTGACATACAGTAGTTGTGGATGTTGAGGTCAGAGATACCATAAAGAATCTTGTAGAAGAAAACTAGATTGTTCATTTCTCTGTTGTTTACAACACAAGGGTAACATTTCTAAATTATTGAGTCGCTCAATGTAGCTGGAGTCACCTTTACTAGCTCAGCATCCATCTGGTGGCCCGCCCCTGTACTCGTTCTATTTTCAACTTTTGGGCACAAATGTGTGAGGACCAAACGTTTTAGCAAGGGAAGGTACAGTGTGCATCAGACTCGCATGTCAGTTAAGGTGGCTCCCTACAGTTATAGTCCAGTTTAAAATATTTATATAACTCAGACGTCATCCTCGCGACTCGCGCGTGGAATCGTCGTGCCCCGGTAAAAATCTTGAAACAAGTAAACAAGCCGCGGGAAGTTGTTTTTGTATTTTTATCTACAAAGAAAACGCCAGTTTTTTATTATAATCCTAAACTTTTCAACATTCGAACAGTACGCATGTTGTTAGCTAGTTTTTACCTACATTCAGTGTGTTTTTTTTTATATATTTAATACGTTCAGTACTGTATTTCATAATGCTCACAATGTTCAACAACAGTGTCACGGACTGAAATTATATTTTATACTGTCTTGAAGGCACTCCTG